TAATAACCTATATAATCAGCTTCTAAAATGCTGGATTATCTGTGGGTTTATTGACTCTTCTTTACAAAATCTGTTATTTCTAATTAATTCTCCATATAACTATCACTAAAGCTAACTCTCAGAGACACAAATGAGTTTGATGGCAGTGTCTAGTCAAGGTCAGCATTTAACTGCCAGCATTTGCACTGCTGAGGGTAATAAATCAGGCTTATTCCTAATCACATACCCTACAATGTGACAAATGTTAGTGAAGCCATCTAAGCAACCATTTTACAAGTCATTTAGAAGATACATTTGGCATTGTTGAACTGCTCCATGCTGCCCTTGGCTGTAAAAGCATTGTGATAAAATATGTATGCTCTGTTAGATCTCTGTATTTGAATCCTGCAGAGTGTGTGTGCATGGGGGCGTGTGTTTGCCTTTTTCCCCCCCTTTGTGTTTGGAAATAAGGAGAGAGGCATGAAAATAATAACACCTAACCAGCCTACGGAAACCACTGGCTTCTGAAAGCAGTGATGAGTAGCCAGCTCTGTGGCGCTATTTCATATTTCCTGTGTTTGCAGTTAGAAGTTTACATTGAGAGTAGGTTGCTGCCTGCAAGAAATTTTCTGGGTCAACAATAGTCCATTGTGTCAAAGTTTATAAAAGCCCTGTTAAATATCAGAGCAGTAGTTGTTGGGCTCTAGTATGTATTGGGCAAATGTTTAAACAGTGTTTTCACTTGGTCTAAAGTTTAAGACTCAATCTGCTGTGGCCCACAGAAGCCATTAGATTTAGCATGTCATTTAAATAGGTATTTGAAGCAGGCTGATTGCTTTCCAGAGACACGAATGTAAAGTTCCTCTTTTTTTTTTTTTCCTTATAGTATCCGTTCATATTTTGACCAGCTCTTGTATTTTTCAAAAGAGAGAACAATTTGTTGCCTAAATAATCTGGATTATTGTAATTAAACTGCTCATCGGGAGCAAAAAATAAAACTGAGCTTAAAAAAAACCACCAAAAACAAAACCAAAAAAAGAAATACAACCTAAAATGAAATGGATATATATGTCTGTTGTAATCAACTGAATTTAACACTTTGGTTTTACCTATGAAGTGTTAACCTCTCTCTAACTTTTCCCACATACCAGTTTACATTAGGATTACTTGTTAGAAATTTATAGGATATTTCTGTGGTAAATTAATGAAAAGGGAAATATTTACCTTGGAGCATGCATGAAAAGCACTTTAAAAATGGGCCCTTTTCTCCCTATAAACATAGGTTATAGAGCTATTCTGATTAATTAAATATTTGGTTTAATAAACTTTTATTAAACCAAATAAAGTGTGTTTCTATGTCATAAACACTGGGTATCTGGCCTTGAGATGAGGCCAGAGGAGTAGTTTTGTCACCAGTCACATCTTAATGCTCATCATGTTCACCATGGTCAAGGCACTAGGAAAGGAATGACAGCCTGAATACAGAAGAGATTCAGGAGAAAAATGTGTGACCATCCATGTGTGCCCTGCTGAGAAAGAAAAGCTTCTCAAAAATAAAAAATAAAGGGAGAGTTGACTTAATCTAAAGTTTAGCAATATGATTTCAGCATCTTTTTTTTCACTCAGCCTTTTATTATTTTTTGCAAGTATGTACAATTAGCACTTTACCTTTGCATGAGGTAATATAACAGCATTTGAATTGGTAAATGCTTTGGTGTAGCATGGGTGAAAGAGAACATAAGAGGTGTTAAAAACAAGCCAAGAATTCTTCATTTGAAGACATAGCTAGAGCTTGCACAAGTTGGAGGAGGTTTAAGTACCAACAGCTAATATTAATGTTTCTTTGCAATAGAGTATTTGAGAATTGCTCCATGTTGGATACCTCAGTTAAGAATGAAAATACCTCATTTGTGTTTTAAGCTATTCCACTTTTAAACTGATTAAAAGGATGTATGGGGAGTTAATTGAATTTTATTCCAGAATGTTAAGTTTCCACCTGTGATGCTGTGGTTGAGTAGTTGAATACATGCTCTGTATTCAAGCTGTACCTTCATCTTTCGGCTATAGTCAAGCCCTTCATTTAGAGAAGCACTGTATAAAATGTGCTGCAGATTATGTCTTAGGTAGGCATTTAATAATAGTTGTGGATCAGCTGGTGTCTCAATGTGTCTTTACTGGCTTTTTTTACCCAATAATTCTGTGTAAGTGAAATTTTGTAGGGTAGCTTGTATCTAAAAAAAGGGTCTCCCACCTTCTGCAAATCCTACATGACAATTTTCAACCAAAAATAATACGTACTTGTATATATAACGTAGAGGGAGAGTTTGAGCATGCATATATATGTGTGTGTGTGTGTATATATATCTATGAAGAAATAAAAAACCACACAAACACACATACCCTGGAAACCTCCATTTCTCCGTAGGAAAAGCTCTCTAACAGAATTACCTTTTTACCTTTTTTAGCTATTAAATAAAAATACACTGACCTTTTTCAGGGTAGAAAGACTAGGAATTCTTTTGCTAGTCTTATGAAGAAATGGGAACATGCAGCATTAAAATTACAAATGCTCTAAGACATTTTGGTGGCATGTTATAATTGAAATGTTTCCCTTCCCAGACAAAATACTCCTGTTTGCAATTAAAAGGAAGGAAAAAAAAAAAAGAAAAAAAAAAGGAGAGAAGAAAAAAAAAAAAAAAGAATTTTCAAGGAGTTAGTTTATTTTTTTTTTCCAGGTTATTTACATTTTCTCTAGAAAGCAGACACCTTTTGAAGAATTCTGTTTAATGAGAGGCTTCCTATTTTTCGTGGAGTATGAAATATGCTTGAGGGAGAAAGTCCTGTTCATTACCTAAACAAATCTGAATGCAGAGCTGAATACCAGCAGAGTCTCAGCAAATCCTGAAGAAGGTACCATCCCTTAGGGATAGATTAATGCAGCGTGCATAGGTATGACAGTGACTTGAGCATGCAGAACTTACTTTAACATAGATTTGGTGAGGCTTTCCTTTGTTTTTCTAACAGATGAGCTAATGCCATCACCTAGCAATTATCAAGGAGTGTGATGTTATGTAATGAAAGTATAAATAGCATAACAACTAAAACTAGTAAATCTAACAGACTAGGGAGCAGACGAGCAGGAATACTATTTGGAACATTTTGATTAGCATCTGAATGCTGTCATTTAAGAAGACGTTTAGATATGCTGTTACAGTAAAGCTGCAGGCCAGGAGAGTTGCAGTCCTTGATCTGGAGTGACATTTGTGCTGTGCCCCTGGATAAGTCACTTGGCCTCTGTATACCTCTTTAAAGGAAGATAGAAAACTCGAAAAAGGCAAAGCTTGCGTACTTGAAATTTCTGAGGCAGGCTGTTTTTATCTTGTGTTTGAATTAAGGCTACCTGTGAACTTTGTTTCCCAATAACTGACTGACAAGTAGCCTGTGACCTGCAATATGAACTATCAGATTATTTCACCACTGGTGTAAAGTCTCTTCAGGTTGTTTTTGTAAATGTTTGGCAGCATTTAGAGAGATAACATGTGAAGAAATGCAAGAGGTCACATTTACCTGGAGAAGAGGGGCTGTGTGGAAGGAAGGACTCCAGAGGCGTGGGAGGAATCCAGAGCTTTCACCTCCTTCAGTATCTGGCACGTTTCTCTAAACGTGCTGGTTACGTTAGGGTGGCATTTCCATTTCCTGGGGGAAGAAGGGAGGGAGGAGACTCGCTGCATCATGAAATACGACTTGTTTATGAAGAGCGCTGTCTTTTAGTGTTGACAGTGGAAAATACTTCCTAAAGATACCTTTGGAGAATCATGGTTTAAGGAGACCCAACAACAGAAATGCCCTGCCTTTTAAGAAGGTGGTAGATGGTTGAAGCTGGGTTTGCAAGATGCATCAGTCTGCAGTCATAGCCTTATAGAATGGTTAGAGTTGGAAGGGACCCTAAAGATCATTTACTTCAAGCCTCCAGTCATGGGTCAGCCACAGCTTCTCTGGGCAACCTGTGCCAGTGTCTCACCGCTGTCAGTAAAGATTTTTTTCCTCATGTCTAATCTAAGTCTCCCCTCTGTCAGCTTGAAACCATTCCCCTTTTTCCTATCCCTACATGCCCTTGTAAAAAGTCCCTCCCTAGATTTTTTTGTAGGCCTCCTTTAGGTATTGGAAGACTATTATAAGGTCTCCCCTGAGTCTCTCTTCTCCAGGCTGAACAAACTCAACTCTCTCAGCCTGTCTTCAAAGGAGATGTGAATAATGGTCTCAAAACACATTCATTACTGCTTTTGTTCAGTTGAGGAGTTGAAAGCCTGACTTCTTAATTATCATCATTAAAGACCTTTGGTGAGAATAAAATAATGTACAGTTAATGTCTGGCAGTACACTTATATGTCAATAACAAGTTGGATTCAATACTTTGGGATGGTTTCTGAATCTCTGATGCTGCTTTTTTGGCACCTACAGTCATATAGAAGGCTCTTCTGCACTTGCAGAATGTAAAAAGGCTTCAAAACTACTTTGGAAGTAAGCTTTTAAATTACAGAAATATTATACCACTGCAATGGTAAGCAGGAATGCAGGCAGGAAAGTGCTGCGCTACTTCATAAAGTGGTCTTTGCGGTTTTATTAGAGGTATTCCTTAGCTGTAAAGGCTTTAAAAAGACAAGCAAACAGAAAGAAAATTTATAGCTATCAGATCGCTGCCAGAGTGGTTTGTTTATTTGTTGTTTATTTTCAGTTTTAATCATCTGCTACCAATAAATTCCACTGTCCTTGTGGTAACTTCTTACATTAACATTGATGTATTATGGGTGTCTTAAACAGACAATAAAAGTATTGCGCTTACTAATTAAAGCAATTCATGTATTCAGCGAGGCGCTGCCAGAAAGAGTTGTGGTTGCCTAATTGTAAGGTGCCTTAAGCAATATACCTGTTACAAATTCTTAGTTGAACTTTGCAGTATGGACAGTGTGATGTGAAATATTCACAGGTGTTTTATTTGTTTTGTTTTGTTTTTACTGCAGCTCTTCATTGAGAAGTGTATCAACTGGATCTTCAAGACCTTCCAAAGTGTGTTTGGTATGCGGAGATGAAGCATCTGGATGTCATTATGGGGTGGTTACATGTGGCAGCTGTAAAGTTTTTTTCAAGAGAGCAGTAGAAGGTAAGAAAACATGAAACTAAGAACATCAAAAAAGGCAAAATATGTGCAAGTTTGGTGGTTTTTAATAGAAATACATACAAGGAAAAGGTTTCCCCCTTGTGAAACCATTTTCTTTTACCATCAGCAATAGCTGACTTCAGTGCCTTCATTCCCTAGCTTCTTATTTGAGTTTTTAGTTGCTTAATGTAGCACATGGAGTGGAGCTGGAAAACCTTACTTATTTTCACTGAGTGATTTACTCCATGTGCTTCCATGCCATATATGGATCTACATTTATCATGCTGCTCCCTTTTGATGTCCTTTTTGACATAACCTGGTGGATATCCAGCTTTATAGGAGTTGATGAAAAATTGCCAAGGATACCCTTTAGGAGATGACAAAGTAGCAAGACCATGTTTCTAAGCCTCACAAACCAAAATTATTAGGAAACTATTACTCTCTAATCAGGCATAGAAATGTTGTTATTAAAAATTATCAGTAATTACTGAAAGATTACAAGGTAATTAAAAAAAAAAAAAAAAGATGGAGCAACCCTGTCATCCCTAAAAACTGAAGATAGAAATTTTAAATGAACTTAAAATACTTTCTTTGCTTTTTTTTTAGAATTATTGTATTAACATGTATGTTCCTACCAGTGGGATGTGAGCACTGTCTAGACTTTTGCTTGGTATGCACATGGCTGTGAACTCTTGATGCTCCCAGTAGCATTGTTGTTATGCAAACACCGAAAATTTGGCTTGTACTTTCCTGTTTTTATATATACACACATACATATTTATACACACACACACACATTTGTGTGTGTGTGTATACGTATATATGCATAACAGTAAATTGTGGAGTATTAGCCACAAAGGAAATAACAAAACCATAATACACATTTTGGTTCCAAACAGCCTGAAACTGTCCGTGTGACTGAAAACTTGTGTAGGTAGTTTTGTAACAAAAATCTTATATACAGCTGTCGTAATTTTTTTAGCCAGGTACATGACCAATAAAACAGCCCATCCTGAGGTTCCCTAGTTTAAATAAAATATTTGTTGTAATGTAGTCTGTATCATGTGTTCATGAGGATTTTGTCTTGAAAACTATTGGTAGTTCAGTGCATGGTATAAGTAAAAAATAAATTGAAGTGAAAGAACTTTCTACAAAGGTAGAAGAACTTCTACCTTTAATGTAGATCCTAGGCATACCTGTCTCTGCTCTAAGCTAAAGCTGTCTTCCTTACTGAAGTGCTTGCATTCTTGTCTTTGTTGCAAAGAAAACTCCCTCTGTGAACACAGAAACAACTTTCTGGAGAATTTATAAATACAGTAGCTAATTTGAGTAAAAATGAATTGTTTCCTCTTTAAGAGATTGTAGTAAAAGAATAAAAGGTAATACTCAAGTTTCATTCACAGTTTCCCTGAAATCATGTGTATAGACTTTTAAAGGGTTTAATTCTGTTTTTCCAGTAACATTTTACGCCCTTTAGATGTGTGTGCATGTGCGCACGCACACACATTTCTTACTAGTTCCACTAAACAGTGTTCAATGTAAAAGCGTCAGGAGAAATTACGTTCTTTTAGAAATGGCCTCATGTTCCAATTGTAAAATATATGTTATAAAATATGGTAGGTACTGCTGGTGCCATTTGCACAGAACCACAGAATGGCTGAGTTTGGGAGGAACTTCTGGAGGATAACCTGTTCCAACCCCACTACTCAAGCAGGGCCACTTAGAACTGGTTGCCCAGGACCGTGTCCAGGTGGCTTTTGAATATCTCAAAGGATGGAGACTCCACAACTTCTCTGGGCAACCTCTGGCAGTGATTGGTCATCCTCACAGTAAAAAAAGTGCTTCCTGGTGTTCAGACAGACACCCCTGTGTTTCAGTTTGTGCCCCCTTTGCACAGAGTAGCTCTTCCTTGGAGGGGAAGAGGCTTTTGGTCATGAATTTCTACCTATTAAATTAAAGATTTGATCAGTTTAATTTTAAAAGTTCCATACTGATAGTCTGTCAGAAGATATGGTGGGTTGGAAATCATGGGCAAGAGCAACTGGTGTTAAGGTCGAAGGCCAAGAACAGGTGCTCCAGTTGAGCATGTCCCTGCTTATTTCAGGGTGATTGGACTTGACCTTTAAAGATGCTTTCCAACCCAAATTATTCTGTGATTCTATGAAGTGGGGAGACAAATTGTGTCAAAAAGCATTGGAACATAGAGAAAGGGAATTTGGAGCAAGGGACCACTGCACACCACCCAGCTTTTTGGTTCTCTGCTAGAATTGCTGATGTTGTCAGCCTGCCTTGAACAGCTTTAGAGTTCCAATTCCTTTGCGCTTCTGTGAATACTATAAAACAGAGAGATTATAACAGCAGAGAACAACTGTGTTGAAATTTAAAAACAAGAAACTACACAACAACAAAGAGACTAAAGCTTGCATTTCCAATTATAAATCTGGTAATTATATTCCCAGTGAATCTTATTTTGGAGACTTGCAGAAAATGTCTAATGAATTTATGAGAAGGAGAGCTGTAGACCATAAAAATATGAAAATGGGTTTATTGGTGAAATTTCAAAGGTAATTTCAGCTGGAATTCATTACAGGGATGTAAATTACCGAAGTGAAAAATTTTGGTATCGAGTAAGCATGAATATTTTGCTGACTGACTTGATAAACAGGAGTCTGATATGAAGAAATGTGGTTGTGTCATTAATATAAATTTGATCTGCCTTGCAAACACCATAATCCAATAACCATGAAAGTGTTGATAAATGGTGTTACTGCAAAGGTTAAAGACATATGTATTTATGCTACTTTTTTTTTTTACCTAGGATAACTATATTGTATGAATTTTAAAATATGGATATGGCCAATTAGGAAGTTGTTTAGTCTATGATCATTAGTAGAGTCATATAGAGTCAGAAAATACACTGTACTGTGAGGGAACCTAAAGCACCTGGCCAGTCTTGTCTTCTCTTTTTCCACTGAACCAGCTTTCTCTAAGTAGAGTAACATGCTTAAAGTCAGAAATCACAGCGGCTCCTGTGTATCCTTTGCATTTTTAGTCTTCCTTTGTTCAAGTTCCAGGCAAGTATGAGGTAATAGGTCCTAAATCAAAATTTATATCGCTTCTTAAGTTGCTAATCTTTCATTCTTCCTTTGGCTTGAAGGTAAAGAAAAACGGCATTTTATCATCTCCATATAGTGCTAAAGACGACAACAAAAATCACCATCTTCTTCTAGTTACTTTGCATATTTGCTGGGAGATTTTTGGCTACTTAAAATGGAAGAATTAACAAATTATATTGTTATATATTATATAGTCATAGGGAAGCTTGTCTTTTTCTTAAATACAAATATGTGATGGTCAGTAAATTTCAGATTTTGCTGTTGATATCTGTTCCAGGTTTACCTGGAATCGAGTTCTACTAGTTTATATCAGAAACATAGATGTCTCATCACCTCTGAAGTAGAAGCACAGTCACAGCAACAGAAGTTCCTAAGGTTGCATTCCTTTTTCACCTGAACTTGTTATTTGCCTATTTAAAGTCAGGGTAATTTTGGCCAAAGGAAATCTTTCAAAGCCTGAGCTGATGGCTGTCTTACTTAAGTGGCTTCCTGGATATTGCAAATGTGCTGTGCACCTCAAGAAGCAGCCTAGGAACAAAGAAATCCTACCTCTGCTATGTGTTTTAACAGCAGGTCATCCAAGGTTTTGCTTCAGTAGTGGAAGGGATGAAATATCTTGTGTAGCAATCTGTAGGGACTCAGCACAGCTGTGGGAACTGAGCTTACCTCAAAGATAAGGTCGTGGAAGGGAAGTGCTGTTCTTCATCTCCTTTTGTGCCAGGCTGCTCTGAAAACACAGAAACAAACCAACCCAGGCTGCAAGATCAAGGGTCCAATCCACCAGTCACCTGGAGTGACTCCCATTCTGCCTTGCCAGACACTGAGGATGATGGTTTTGCTGTAATAAAAGGGATGCAACAGCCTTCCAGAGACTGATCACTACATGAAGGATTGCAAGCTATTGGCAGCCTGAAAATTCTGTGGTAGATAAATTCAGTTCTTTGGCAAGCAGAGGCACCGTGCAACTCTTCAGTAATGGGCCAGATATGTAATATCCTAAGGGAGAAGTAATAATGTTATTCATAACATGTTGTTTCAGAAGCAGGTAGTCTGTCTTTGTTTTTCCTGTGCCCTGTAAGTGAAAGAGCTTCCCGAGGCTCTGCACTCCCCAGTACAAAATGGAGAAACTAAAGCCTCTGTGTATGCCTTGTAAATATTTTCATTTGAATTAGGGAGGAGAAATAATCAAGGTATGAGAATATAAATGCTGGTGTACATAGCTTTAGCATAATTAGCTTAATCGGCATACCTTAAATTTTTATGAAATACTACCGGTGAACAGGAAAGTTTACCTTGTTGATCACTTAAAGAAGGAGTTGTTTTGGTTTTTTATGCTTTAGAAGCTGAATTTGATACATTATAGAAAGGCATTTTCCACACCATTTTGTAGTGTGTGCACCCGTGAATTTTGTAGGTCTGTATTACTAGAATTAATTATACATACAGTTCTTCACTCTCCATTCTTCTGTTCATTCACTGTAATGGAATCAGTGTTTTTCCATCACAGGCTGCAATTTTCCTGTTACCCACTTTCATAAGGTCAGCGGCCTCTCTAAATTCGACATCACTCAGTATAGATGTCCATATGTTTTCATAGAAATTTCTATGTAGGATTTGAAGTTGACTCTGTTCCTGACCTGTTGCAAGAATCTGTTTTACAACCTATCAAACAGAAATATTAGGTGAAGAGCAAGCAGATGGGTGATCTGCTGAGGGCAAGTGAGCTGGTCAAATTCATGTAGCAGCTGCTACTCTTACTTGATATGCTATGGTTAATAGGTGTAAAATAAAATTTAAATAATTAAGTCATTGTAGGTTTGTAGCTGCCACCAGCCTTCCTTGCCTTCAGAGATATAAAAAAGACTTTTCCTGGTTTTTGCTCTGGCA